TGTAACACTAATTTTATGTACATCAACTCAGGGTAAATTAGCATTCATCTGTAAAAAAAAAAAAAAAAACCAAAACTTAGTGCTGGTATATTTAAGCATCTAAAAAAGCATCGGTGTACTGGGGCACCTGGGTGGCTCAGCCGGTTAAGCGTCCAACTTTGGCTCAGGTCATGATCTCGTGGTTTGTGAGTTCCAGCCCCACATTGGGCTCTGTGGTGACCGCTCAAAGCCTGGAGCCTGTTTCACATTCTGTGTCTCCCTCTCTCTCTGCCCCTCCTCCACTCATACTATCTCTCTCCTTCAAAAATAAATAAACATAAAAAATTTTTTTTAAAGCATCAGTGTATTCCTCTTAACTTCCACAGAACGATGCCTCATTCAGAATATCTATTTCACTTACTAAGCATCTCCAGATGTCCCTTGTTTGAATCTAAATTTCTGGCCCCTAAGGCAACAAAATTAATTTTAAAGTTGTTTATAAACAGAGACCCTTATGGAAACTTTGAGAAATGTTTTCCAAAAAACTTACACCATATATTTTCACCTACTTGTCTTTTTAAATTGTGTTTAAAATTGTGTTTCCGTAGAAATAAAAATTTCTCTTTAAGGAGTTTTGGTCCAGGGGCGCCTGGGTGGCTCAGTCAGTTAAGCATCCGACTTCGGCTCAGGTCATGAACTCGCAGTTTGTGAGTTCCAGCCCTGAGTCAGGCTCTGTGCTGACAGCTCAGAGCCTGGAGCCTGCTTCGGATTCTGTGTCTCCCTCTCTCTCTGCCCCTCCCCAATTCATGCTCTGTCTCTCTCACTCTGAAAAATGAATAAATGTTAAAAAAAAAAAAGTTTTAAAGGAGTTTTGATCCAAATCTGTTTTTTTCTGTAGATGTCATTACCTTCTATTTTTCCCTCTTTAAAAAAAAACAAAACAAAACAAAACCAAAAACCCATGTAAAGAAAACCATAGTTTAAAACACTTTAACAAATGGTTGCATTAAAGCAACAAAATCAGGTCTTCAGTCATCATACTTAGAAATAATGGGAGAATTGTGAACGTGTGTACCTTTTGACCAACATTAAAAATGAGGTCTTGAGGGGTGTCTGGATGGTTCAGTTGAGCGTCTGGCTCTTGATTTCAGCTCAGGTCATGATCTCAGGGTCATGGGGTCGAGTCCCGCACTGGGCCCCATGCTGAGTGTGGAGTCTGCTTAAGACTCTCCCTCCCTCTCTCTCTCTCTCTCTTTCAGGGCGGGTGGCTCACCCAGTTAAGTGTCTGACTTTGGCTCATGTCATGTGATCTCATGGTTCATGAGTTCAAGACCCACATTGGGCTCTCTGCTGTCAGTGCTGAGCCCACTTTGGTTTCTCTGTCACTCTCTCTCTCTCTGCCCCTTCTCTCTACCACTCTCTGTCTCAAAAATAAATAAACATTAAAAACAAACCCAGACTTTCTCCCTCTGCCCGTCCCCCCCATACATTCTCTCTCTCTCTAAAAAAAAAAGAAAAGAAAAGATAGGTCTTGAATATCTAGTATTTAGTCAGTTGTGCCTTCTTGCTCAGTGTTTTACCAAACATAGAAGAATTTACAGCCTCACACATGCAGGTCAGACATAATATAAAATAAACCAAATGAATTTAATGATGGGCAAACCCCAGTGATGTAACTAGCTTTTCTGCTCCATTAAAAAAAATCTCTTTGCATTTTTCAAAACATAGTGGTCCTACTCCTGTTGTTCCAGCCAAGTCCCTACACACGTGGAGGTAGCCTCCCTTTTCTATCACAGGAAGAAGCCCAGGCCCTTAGGTGCATCATGTTGCTACGTGCAGTCAGGCAGCGCGGGTCCGCACTGGTAACAGCTTACATCTGTGTCACTGAGGCTTGAGGAGTCTGGAATTTCTGAGTTACAGGGCTGCCTCTGCCAAAGACTTCCTGGCAAAGTGTTTTGTCTGCAAAACAGACACAATAATGAGGACCTCATATGGATTTTAAGAAATGCCCTACACCCTGGAAACTTCTTTTGGAAGCAGTGAAGGAAGAAATCCACTCTTTCCCTAGGGGAAAAAAAAAAATTCCACAGCGGCTTTAAACTTTGTCCCTCGTAGAACACATTAAGAGCTGTTTTTAAATGCGAAAAGGGACTAGTGACAGAGCCAAATCCAAACGGTCTGATCTCCGAGGTTCTTGAGTGGTCCTCCCTAGTTTCACCACTGAGATCCTGTCTCATCAGGCCGGTAAACGTGCCTGAGTTTAGCTGGTGGAAGACAGAGACTCCGAGGTGCGAGGTCTCTGTTGAGTATGGGCTGAATTGTATGTTCCCCAAATCCTATGTTCAAGTCCTAACCCCCAGGACCTCAAAATGTGACTGTATTTAAGTTAATGAGAACTTTACTGAGGCAATTAGTTAAATGAGGTCATATGGGGTGGACCCTAATCTAATAGGATGGGTGTCCTTAAAAGAAGAGGAGATTAAGACCCAGACACGCACAGAGAAAAGACCATGTGAGGACCCAGCCATCTACAAGCCAAGGGGGAGGGGGGAGAAGCCTCAGAAGAAACTAATCCTGCTGACACCTTGATCTTGGATTTCTAGATTCCAGAACAGTCAGAGGATAAATTTCTGTTGTTTAAGCCACACAGTCTGTGGCGCTTTGTGACACAGCCCCAGCAAAGTGAAACACCATGCAAGTCTTCCCTTCCCTTGATGAGAATGAGCCTCAGCATATCCTTCCATTTTGGATAGAGATGCATCCTGGGAACAGGTGACAGCTGACCAGACAGATTCTGATTGTCCATACACAGCTCTTTGAAGGAGGTGCCCCTTGTCTGACATTATGGTGGCCTTCCTTTTCTTATTTTTCTCTCTGCACATTTTAACACAGCAAAAGACTAGACCAAAGAGCAAGAGACCAAGCAAAGTTTCTAGGAGAGCTCCAGCCACAGAGCTAGCCCTCTGGGAAGCATGACACCATGCAGCCTCGCACACCTCACACCCCACCCCATTTGTGACTGGGCAGGTATGTCCCCAGCTTCTTGGAAGGGGCACTTTGCACAGAAAGCATGGGTGACATCATGGGGGTAACCACGAAGTACGCATTTCTGTGAGTTTGATGGCTTTTGCCAGTTGTGGAATCAAGGAGGCAAGCCTTCCTTTGGTTGATCTTTTGATCCACGTTTAGTTTTGTCTATCAACATCACATCTTGTCAGCTGAAGCTAATTCCCAACATCAGGAACTTTCTTTTGCTTTGCCCTGCCAGGTGGCGATATCTGATTCTGGTACATTTGTTCTATTTGTTTGTTGATGCTTCTCCAGATTTGGGACCCGAAGTTGGAGCAGGTCCTCAGCCTTTCCGATCTCAAGAGCAGTATGGTCAGTGTTGTGTTCAGAAGATGATACAATCACTTGATCACCCTTTGATATCATCACCTGGTGATAACTTGGTTATATAAGCGGCCCCCCATCCTGTGGTCTACGCATGACTTGGCATGGCAGGAAGGAGTTTTCTCCCTGGGCTACCCAGGAGCAGTGGAACGCCACCTCCATGCGCTAGGTAGGACCACGAGAGGAGCCCAGCAGCCAGGCCCAGCCACCGTACCCAGCCCTGATCTCTCACAGCCTTCTGACCTCCTGAATCCTGCTCCTGACTCACTCACAGCAGCCACACCTCTTATGTTACATTTTTTCATATTACTTTTAAAAGGCAAACTCATTAATATGTGCCTTGAGGATTTACAAAGCTCACGGTAAAATATGTTTTGTTTTCACAGCTGCACTCACACACTTAGATGAGGCCATTTCGAGGGAGATAGTATGATGTAATGTGGGTGACAGCACAATTGTCATCCTGCTAGAGGGGACAGTATTGTGATCTCAATGGAAAAGAAAAGTGAGGCTTTCATCTGTAAGCTCAGATCCCATTTACCGCAATAATCTCAACCTTTGAGCAGGGCTGGGAGTGGAAATTACTACAAGCTGTTGAATACAGATGACATCATCCTGCCACCCACAAATCTTACGAGTTTGACAGCCCAGAAGAAGGCATACGGCTAGAAGGAATACAACTCCAACTAAGTCAACAAGTTTTGTGTGTTTCAAAGGTTTTCATAGACGTTCTCTTCTCCATTTTCTGTTTTGGTTTGGCACCCGCCGCGACAGTAAAATGATGACCATGACAACAGCCATTAGCGTCCCCAGAGCCACGACCAACAGCTCCCTCTGAGTGGAATTATGAGAGTGTCGAGTCCTTTTCCATAGAACTCTCGCAACATGGGGCTCCGAGACGCTGAGGTTTTGGCGGGTGTAGGTTCTGTCCTGCTGTTAGTCCTGGGGCAGTTTTCTCGGCTGTAACGCTAGTCTGGGCCTTCCAGTTAGGCTGCCAGAGCCGGGATCTGCCACGTGTACACAGAAGTTGTCACAGGTCCCGAAGACGGCGCTTCCCACTTGCCGATTCTGCAGCTGCTCTCCTGTGTTGGGTGGAATGCTGGGCACGTAGGTACCTACGTTCACATTCTCTTCCATTAAAGGACACCACGACTTCTTTACATCACCTGGGATTGCTTCCACCTGCAGAATTCCTGGCACCATCCTTCTGGATATGGTATATCCACATTATGGAACTATGTAGGCTGCTGATCATAAAAATGGAAATCAAGAGGGGCACCTGGGTGGCTCGGCCGGTTGCGTGGCCGACTCTTGATTTCAGCTCAGGCCATGATGTTTCCTGAGTTCAGGCCCCCACATCAGGATCTGCGCTGACCCTGAGGAGCCTGCTTGGGATTCTCCCTCCCTCTGCTCCTCCCTGCCCCCCAGCTCGTGCTTTCTCTCTCTCAAAATAAATAAATAAACTTAAAAAAAAGGAAACAAAGGAAGCAATTTCAAAGGAACAAATGGCACCGAAGTCATAAGACACCCTTGCCACAAATGAGGCTTCGGGGGGAAAAAATCCCTAAGTCTCCCGTTTGCTCACTCTAAGAGCTTGGTCTGCCATGTTTAGGATTTAGTGGAAAAACTGGTTTTCATCATGTTTTAATCGTCAGTTTCTTTCTTCACCATCTACTATCGTTTCGGTGGCTTTACAACCCATGTGTTTTGATATCAACGTAATGCTTTAGCAGTTACCTTTTCAGGGACAACTGTAATTCCTGAAACCTGGGTGAGAGGGCCCCTTTGCAACAGCGAGACCTCTGGTTGGGAAGACTCTTGACTCTTGCTCACCATAATTTTGAATAACTGGGTCAGCATTTCCCAGTGCTTACACTTTCAGCGGGTCTCATAACCCTGGGAAGCGTTTTGGGAATATTGATTCCACCGGGCCTCTTAGATCTTGCAGAAAGAAAGCCAACAACACAAATGGTTACTCCTAAAGAAAAAAGGAATTAAGTTATCAAAGTGTTAACCGGTCTTCTCTCTCACTGTCCCCCAGTCTAGACCCTTCCACCACCCCCAGGAGTTCTGGGCTCTCACCCATCTTTCCCTTCTGATTATAGTCCTCTTACAACATTGATTCCAATGCAATTTATATTAAATTTAAGTGGAAGTGCATTCCCCACTATAATGCAAATTCCTTGCATTATACAACAATCACCTGTTAATCTTGATTTTCCCCTCAAAGTACCAACTCAAAGGGGCGCCTGGGTGGCGCAGTCGGTTAAGCGTCCGACTTCAGCCAGGTCACGATCTCGCGGTCCGTGAGTTCGAGCCCCGCGTCAGGCTCTGGGCTGATGGGTCAGAGCCTGGAGCCTGTTTCCGATTCTGTGTCTCCCTCTCTCTCTGCCCCTCCCCCCGTTCATGCTCTGTCTCTCTCTGTCCCAAAAATAAATAAACGTTGAAAAAAAAATTTTTTTCAAAGTACCAACTCAGTAAATGTTTGTTGTACTGAATTATGCTCTCAGGAAAGTTACCAGACCTGAAGCCCCTGGATTTATCCTGACTAAATCTCCAGAAAGAGAGCTACTAGAGTATTTGCTTTATTCATGAATTTAGTACACATATTCAGGTACACCGTTCCTTATATGAAAATTTCAGGGTCAGAATATACCAGATTTTTTTTGCATTTTCACAAGTGAAAACAGCTCATGTATTATGTGTGATGTAGCATGTTCTCAGTATGCACATTTACCAAAAATATAAGAAAAAGGGATGCCTGGGTGGCTCAGTCAGATAAGTGTCTGACTTTTTATTTTGGCTCATGTCATAATCCCATGGTTTGTGAGATCGAGCCTCACATCAAGGCTCTGCACTGCCAGCATGAAGACTGCTTGGGATTCTCTCTTCCTCTCTTCTTGCTCCTCCCCCATGAACGTGCACATGCCCCTCCCCCCCCCAATAAATAAACGTAAGAAAAGAAAACGAATAAGGACTAACCTTAGTTAAGGTTATGTTTTTGTCATCTAATAAGTTTGCTGAAAACTTCTGTTAAAACTCTGTTTTTAAAGGTTTTGGGATTTCAGAATGACGGAGGACCACGGACCTATCTTCAAAGAGAAAAACAAATGAATTACTTCTTTTACATTAAATTTCTAAAGCAGATAATATATTTCTTTTATAAAATGCCATAGTCCTATTTCTGTACTTCCTCAGATTTTAAAATTTTACAAGTAATCTACTAATACATGTTCACTACATAAAATGCCAATAATAGAGATAAAGCTAAAGCCGGAAGTGACTCACCTTCCCATCTGGTTTTCCTTTCACAGACTCCCTGGCCTTCGGGGAGCTCCTCAGGCACACACCAAAGCATACTACAAGACCTCATCTTTATAGAGTCCCGTTGCAAGATGCCCTCATTTCCATCTTTTCCCTTGACTCTTCCTTGTCAAATCTTCAGTGATACATAAGAACACTTATTGTCCCCATGTGGAGAGATGAGAAAGGTCAGAGTGAAAGACATTCAGATATTTGCTGTATGTGATAGAGAGCCAAGAGGTGGAAGCGATGGTGCTAGAACCCAAACTTCTCACTTGTCAGGTGCTTTGTGTCTCCTGCCATCACAGCACAGATTCCACTCTCCTGTGGATTCCTGATACCATGTCTAGGGCCAGGGGTCATTGTGCAGAGACTTGCTTTCATCTAAAAGAGGGGTCTCCTTGGATCAAGGTAGGCCGTCTCCCAGGTTGCTAAGAACCCCATTCCCATTCCCCCAAATTCTGGACCAGGTTACCCTGGGAGCTTCACATAGTCATGGAAGTTCTCAAGCACTTCACTGATGGAAATTTGCCAGATTTCAATAATATCGTATCCTATACCTATAGCAGCTCCTTCATTTGTTTTTAAAATTACTGCTATATTCTTACAAATGTGGGCAATTCACCAGTTTTGGTCTTCTAAAATCACCATTTTCATAATCATATTTGTGTCAGGACTTCCTTTTTTTTCTGTCTTTAAACTGAACTCTAAGAAGAAGGAATAGGCATTCTTATTCTTCGCCTATGAATGGCTTCTACAGCTTAGTTGGTGCCTTCCCATCCCAGAAACACATCTGTCTCAGCAATATAGAAAGCCTTTTCCATTCAAGGCAGAAGTCTTCTAGATGTATTCTGAAGCATAAAAATCTCCAAACATAATGTCCTCAAGATAAGTAGAGAAAGTTCTCAGGAACAAAGCGTCATCATGAGAGATGAGAGTTTATTTTACTAATCTGGCATCAAACGCAGTCTATTAAAAAGAGATTAGTGCTTATTAACAAGATCTGGTATTAGTGACTGCTCTGAACGGGACACTATTTGGCAAGAATGCCTAAGGACCTTGTCCTATCTACACAAAAACAATGGAAGAGCACTGTCAGCCACATTGTGCTTAAAGGATTGTTTCTCACTTTAATCATTATATTTTAGAATAAATAAAATGATATAGAATATTTGAATTAGCTATTTGCCATAATCAAGAGTAATCCCTTGCAACTCCCCCCTTTTTTTGTTTCCAGAATGTTTCATCACTTTCCTATACAAGAGGGGTGCATTTTTAAAAATGTTTTGTTCCTCATTGAAATAGGTTAGCTTTTCTTGGTGAAAAGGAGACAGGAAGGGACAGTAGTTTCTTCATTAGTGATTTTAGAATAAGGCCTACTATTTATATAATTCATTGTGTTTTAGAAAAAAAATTGTCCTAATTCCTTTATTCAATCAAACTTTTGTAGAACTGAAAAGGCAGATTAAATTGTTATTTAAAAAAGGGGCACCTGGGTCGCTCAGTTGGTTGAGTGTCCAACTTGGGTTCAGGTCATGATCTCACGGTTGGTGAGTTTGAGCCCCGAGTCAGTCTCTTTGCTGTCAGTGCAGAGCCCACTTCAGATCCTCTGTCCCCCTTCCTTCCACCCCTCCCCCCTGCTCACACTCTCTCTCTCAAATATAAACATTAAAAAAAATTGTTACAAAAAACCCAAAAACAAACAAAAACCTCCCCAAATGTCATTAATTCTGTGCTTAAATGTCTGCAAAATTGAAAATTGGCTAGGTGGGATGAGTTTTATTTTCTCACACCTCTAATTGTTCTTCATGCTAGTCAGTGCTGACAAGGATTTCAATGGCAGATGGCAGGAAGAAGGAGGAATGAAGAAGTAAAGAAAAGCCTGACTCAGTAGCAGCAGTGGTGGCTTGAACGGAACCATATTGGGAAATCCTCAGTAGCATCAATACAGTTTGGTGACTGGGAGGGAGGGGGTTTAGAGAGGGGGAGAAGGTAAGCAGAATCTGAAGTTTCTAGATTGGAAGCCACTCTGAGAGAATAACTTGGCTGTACTCCGGGAGATGAGAAAGAGAAGAAAAAGAAGGGACAAGAGAGAAGGAAAGTGGTGAGGCCTGACCTGTGGTGCTGAGAGAGGGAGAGAGGGCTCGCTGACTTGGGGGAGCCACCAGTAGAGCAGTGCCCCTTCATCCATATTTTCTTTTTCTGTCCTGAGGCAGATGATCCTCAGATCATTCCAATATTTCGGCAATCAGTAGTAGCCTGCCACTACGTCACAAAGTCGACATTAATTTCCTCACTTCCCCTCCTCATGTAGGCATTTTATCACCTCATATCATCACAAGAAGGGTAAGTATGGCACAGTAAGATATTTTGAGGGAGAGAGAGAGACCACATTCACATAACATTCATTACGCTATATTGTTGTAATTGTTCTATTCTATTACTATCACTGTTAATCTCTTACCTAATTGATACATTAAACTCAATCATAGGTATGTATGTACAAGAAAAAAAAACATAGTATGTATAGGGTTCGATAATATCTGCAGTTTCAGGCACTAGCTGGGGTCTTAGAACAGACCCTCTGAGGGTCAGAGGGGACCACTGTTCTGCACAAGCAGAGAGCACAGTGAACCAGTCTTGTCCAGTCAGCTCTGAGTTCACCCATCCAACCTCCTCACTAGCTCTCAGTGTGCTTGCTCTTCCATTGATCCCCCTGGCCCACGACCTCAGCTGGGCCTTTCCACCTCTGTGGCCTTCTATTGCTGGTCACATGCCTCCCCTAACCAATGTCCCACCATTTAGTCTTGCCCAGTGCCAATCCTTTAAATTCCAGTGCAAACTGTATTGCATCACAGCCTTGGTGAAAACTGATGAAGGCTTCCCACTACACCAGGATCAATTCCAAATCCCTGATCTCTAGCCTCTGCCTCGTTCATTTCTTACCATTCCTAGCCTCCCACCCTCCAAGACCCTGAAGGCTCTCATCCCCTGAGAGTGGACATGCTCTCAGTTTCCTGTCCATTTCTTTGCCCAGGCTGCATGCCAGGTCTACAAGTTCCCTTTCTGTAAGGCCAGCTCGTTGGGTAAGACTCAGGTGTTGTTGACTCCCTCCAGAAACACTCCCTGATTCTCTGACCCCCTAGTCAAGCAGACACATCTCTGTTCTCTAATTCCACCTCTTCACCCCTTTTGGGGAGTGTCCCCCAGGGTTATCTGTGGATTGTCTATCTCCTTTCCTAAACTAGAAACTCAAGTGATGTCAGAGGTTGTTTTTCTTCCATTTTGTTTCCCCCAAGGCCTAACCCCATTCTGGCACCCTCCCTCAGTAAAGATCTGTGAATTAACGGCAAAGATGGCATTTCTTCCATTTGAAAGGAGAAAAGGGCTTTTGCCTGAGGGTGGAAAAACTGCCTCTAGTTTACTGCTTTTCCTTTTCCTTGCAAAGAACAGTCGGCAGGATGTCCACCCATCTCTCATGCCTGTGCGGTATCGCATGGGAAGACGAGCAGCTTCTATGTGAATGTGCTGCAAGCAAGACATGTGTGTACTCTGGGGAGAGATGTGTGTGTACAAGACATGTATTCCAGGAAGCCAGTTACCCTGACTCCATTGTAAGTTCCATCTTCCTTCAATTACCCAAACATTTCCTGGAAGTCCTAGTTTAACAGAGTCAAACACCAGCATCTCTTAAGGAGAGAACCTATAAGGAAAATCCTTACATAAGGCACAACTGTCACAAAGAGGTAGTTTCTGACACCACTGGGTATATCAAAGGCATGGAATTTCTCAGAGTCCAGCCACTCAGTGGGAATTTGCAGGAAAATGAAGGCGCTGAAGGAAAGACAGACAACACGTGCATGGGCACACATGCGTGCATGCACCGGCAGCCAAACTAATAAGAGGGCATCGTCAACAATTTGGGAAGCCTATATTAAGCATTTCCATGTATCTCAAAGACTGTTAGTAAAGACGACTTTAAAAATAGAAGCATCCTTAAATAACTCAAGTGGCTCTCAGTGCCATTTGAAAGTTGGATGCTTAATTGCCCTTGAAAAGGGCACAGAGAAGACTTTTCACAGTTACTATCATCTCTAACCAAAAATTCTTTGTAAGGACTTGGCATATATTAAGTGTCGGATGCATGACTTACAAACACTCTTGTGGAATATAGAAGAATCATGTTTTCTTTAAAAAGTATTATTTCCAATGTTAAGAAGAGTTATACATACACACACATATGCCATAAACAACAGCAGTAATAAACTTAAAAGTACTGAATACAGTCAAAGATATTGCTAAACACTAAATGTAATCACTTAATCTACATTATAAGTTGATAGGTTTCACAGCAGCTGAGTCATACCTCACTTTATGGAATAGAGCTCTTTTGTGAAAGTAAATTTATGTCTGTTTTATCATCATTAGCTTTCCTTATAGATTTAAAGGTGTATTCCAACACGTGATACATTTGAGCAATAAAAATCATAGTGGGGGAGTAGGCACTTTTTTAAGAGTCATGCTGTTGATGGAAAAACCTGTTTAAAAAGCAACATCAATATTTATAATTCGATGTATAATATTGAGACTTAAAATATGATTCCAGGAATTATATTCCCTTGGGCCTAGCTAAATCTACAGAAACCAGGAAAGTGTCCTACTTTAAACTAAATCCATGATTTTATTTCCACCTCAAGGCAAAAAGTTCATTTCTTAAAACCACAAACTTATCAAAGGGCATTTATAGAAGGTACCATGGATGGTACAAGAAGCTTTTTTTAGCCTTAAAAAATGCTATTACCTTAAAAGCT